GTATAATGAAATATATAGTTAATTTGTCACATAATGTGGCAGTTGTGAATCTGTGATTGTGTGCAGAGGTGCAAACACATATTATTGGTCAGAGACTTGAAATGGCATCTAGAGCATTAAGTCAAAACTTCTTAAAGTATCTCCTATGGGGACCAAGTGGCTGCTGGGAGGACTGGGAGGGGCTGGCACATTCAGGGCTTTGGAGGGAATAAATCTAGTGCATCACAAAGGTTAGTCTACACTGAGAAGTAATTGATACAATAACAATTCAAGAATCTAAGAATGGGACCAAGTTCAGAGCTGACAGAATCTTTTCCTGTTGTTGAAAATAGTATTATCATCTCTTGAAATATTCATATAGGATCTCCTATTTTCAAGTGACTTACTTATCCCTAAAAAATGTAATTTGGTTATAAATGTGAATATGTGTCTTGGAACACATATTTGCTCTGTAGAAGAGTAAAAACAATGAAGTGTATGTATATACTTACGTATATAGAGAGAGTTACTTCAAGGAAATGGCTGACAGAGTTGTGGAGACTGGCAAGTCTCAAATCTGTGGGTCATGTGCCAGGCTGGAGGCTTTTGCTGAATCACATGCTTGAGAGGTTGACAAGCCCAAAATAGGCTGTTGATCCACATCCCCAGAACCGGAGGTCAGAGGATGACAAGTTAGATGCAGAATTGAGAGCAAGTGAGCTTTGCCAGAACATTCATATACGTTAGATGCAAGCCACTCTCCCAGATCACAAAATGGAGGATAATTACATAATACTGAGAATTGTGGCCCCACCAAGTTGACACAGAACGTTAACCATCACTATGTGCAACTGGGGCTTCCCTACATGAAGGTGACAATTAATACAGTGTATTCATCAAGTCTTCTAGAATTCTAAGCCAACAGATGCACTACAGTGGCCCAATCAAGAGAGGGGTATCAGGGTATCGTCACAAAGAACACTGGTCCAGGATTCTTAGAAATCACTGTCCAATTCACTTGTTCAAATTCTTTGAATTTACAGATTGGAAAACTGAGGCTGAGAAACATGAAATGAATTGCTCTAGATCGCATGTCAGTGGTGGAGCCAGATTTAGAAGCCGATCTGTCTTATGTCCCACGCCAGTGTTTTCAGCAACATCGCAGCCTTCCTATCAGAAGACAAGGTTACACCACAGCCAGTCCAATTTAGGACAACATACTCCAGTGATGTGACCTAATGAGCAAGTACTCCATGAATCTTTAAAAAAAAAACTCATTTTGAATAATTCAATCTTAAACTTAGATTTTGCCAACTGATTGATGTCTTATTGGGTTTTAAAAATGGAACCATAAAGATTTGTTTTATTTTATACTTCCCACTGTCTACATAAACCTGCCTAAATAAAGATGTCATTGATAAGGATTAAAACCCTTAATCACTAAATTAAATATCTGAATTTTTCCCCATTCCACCACATCAGAAGGCCACTCTCATAGACATCATAGAATTTCAGGGCTACAAAGAAGCTAGTCTTGTCAAAAGAAAGTGACTTCTCATGTTAGGCACCCTTCACTTGTAAAATGTATGGTACTTGCTGCAGAGAGGAAGTGGCACATTGTTGAAGGCGTGTTGACTTTACAGTCAGCCTTTGGGTTTAAATTTAGCTCTACCATTTATTATTAGCTTTATGACCTTGGGCTATGTCATCATTCAGAGCCCCAGTTTCCTAATCTGTAAAATAGTACTCATAACTTCCTAACAGGGTCACTGAAGAGAAAAATATAATAATGTGCCTAAATCATGTGGTACATAGCCTGGGATTTAGTAAGTATTGAACAAATTGAAGACTATGATGCTCAACTAAAGCAACAGTAAGACATAGAACCCTAGATTGCAAATGTATGCTATCTTAGTCTTTTCAAATTGTCCAGATGGACTGGGAATGGCTCCTTTAGAATAAAGATATTTATAGATACATGCTGAGAAGTGCTATCTTTCTTGAAATGTTATTAACTTAGATTATGGGATGGAGAAATGGCATTGGAACTTTGAGATGGAGCCTTAGATCGTGTCCAGGTCCAATTCCCTAATAGCACTGTGGCTTTGGTTAAAGAACTCAACCTTGCTGAGTCTGTTTCCTCATCTGAAAAATGAGACCAAAAATACATTTGCTTGGTAGCTAAGGGTTGATTTAAGTAAATCTTCTAAAACAGTAAGACCCTCCACCACTGGGAGCTGTTTCATGGTAAGGCAGTTCCCAGGTTTTTGTATCTAGAAGTCTTGCTCCTTTCGTTCTTCCTAGTGATGTCACTTCAGTAACACATTATTCACAGTTTATGAGATGCTATTTAGGTTTCTCTGGTGGCATAGTGCCTAAGGCACTTGACTGCTAACCAGAAGGCTGGAGGTTCAAACTCACCAGCCACTCCTCGGAAGGAAAATTGGGTGATCTACTTCCATAGAGATGTTGCCTCAGAAACCCAAGAAGGGGTTGCTTATGAGTCGAATCTACTCAACGAGAGTGAGTTTGGTTTTTTTTTTTAGGTTTCTTTTGAATGTAATGTTCTGTTGTTAATTCTCTGTGGAGCAGACTGATTTGAAATGCATTAAAAACTTGACAACAGTTCCCACCACACTTGTCTTTAGGTGCTCTGACAACTGTGCTATTTTAGCATGAAGCACAGGCACACAAGGGTGAAGAAATACTAAAACTAACAGAGGTCCTCTTTATGACTTCATTGTACCAACACAGATCCAATGACTTCCAAGCGTGAAGAGAAAAATGCGGAAAGGAAACAAAGGGAAAACAATATATTTATTAAGAGGCATGAAAAATGCAGAAACTCATTTATAAATAAATGCAATATAATTTACCCAATGAAAAAATAGCAAAAAAATCCATGAATAAACTGGATATTATATTTGAAATGCTTTCATACTAGATCTCTCAGTTCTCTAGTGCTGCTCTAACAGAAATACCACAAGGGGATGGCTTTAATAAACAGATTTTTTTTTTCCTCAAAGTTTAGGATCCTCGAAGTCTGAATTCAGAGCACTGGCTCTAGGGGAAGGCTTTCTCTCTGTGTGGGCTCTGGAGACAGGTCCTGTCTCTTCAGCTTCTGCCTCCTGGTTCCTTGGAGATTACCATGTGTCATCTCTTCTACCCCATCTCTACTTGCTAGCTTACTTTTAATCTTGTTTATATCTCAAAAGAGACTGACTCAAGATACACCCTACATTAATCCTGTCTCATTAACAAAACAAAGACAACTCATTCTCTAATGGGGTTATAACCAGAGGTAAACTCGCTGCCATTGAGTCAGATCTGACTCATAGGGACCCCTCCTCGGGTTTCTGAGGCAGTATCACTATGGAAGTAGATTGCCCAACCTTCCTTCCAAAACCACAGGTATAGAGGTTAGCATTTACAATACATTATTTTGGGGGGACACATTTTAATTCATAACAATCTCCAAACAATTTTTTCCCTCCATCAGGATCTATTGGTGGCAGTAATTTTACAAGGACTATAGAAAAAGCGGTCACCAATATTCATCACGTGGGGAAATTTTTTCAATAATTTTCTTCAAAAATAATCAGTGCAAACAAATACAGATTGCAAGGGCTAAGGTAAGACTTAAGGCTCATATTCAGAAAAGTAGAAAATAAAAATCCCAAACACTTATTTGTAAGAAATGAAAAAAGAAAACTACATTTTGATCAGTGAAAAATAATACATATGGATATTGTAAAACCTTCTTGGTCAATGATTACAATAATTACATTTATAAATGTTCATTCAAGTACTAATACTAAATAAGCATTCATATTTCCTATTAAAAATAACACTAGATGTAAACATGTATAAACAGTGCTTCTTTTGATTTAAAAAAAAAAAATCTTGTCACCAGGAGTTTAGTGACTCTTAAAACACTGATTTTTTTTTTTTCATCTGTAAAAGATTTTTCAGTCTATATGTTTTATCTGCAGTGACCCAAGGAACATCTCACAACAGCTAATTAAGAAGTCCTTTTTTACAAAATACTTCTCAACATTACAGAAAACAAACATTCTAAAGCAAAGGTTTAGCTTCAAACATAAGGGAGCAGAATCAGTTTTCTCTGGCAAAAAATGCTTTGTTCCTTACCAAATGTTGGCTTGCTGCTTTGTGGACAGTATCAGGAAACCCCTTTGGTACTCACCAAACAGAGATTCAATAAACTGAAAAGACCTCATGAACTGTGTTTCCATGATAGCAATGTAGAGTTTATGTCAAAGTCCCATTAAAATCAACATCATTTACTTGATCCCTATAGTTGATGAGTCTTCCTTCAAAAAGTTCCCTCCTAATTTTGGCCTGAGTCTCAGGCTTTAATAAAAGCTCCTTTATCTGTTTCACTTTGGATTTCCGACTCATTCTTTCTCGTTGCAAAGCTTCGTTAATTAAGTCCTGGATTCCCATAGGTTTCTGGCCTAAAGAAAGAAATTATATAACACGTTTTACATACAAATGCCAATGAAAACCATTAAGATACAGCACACTGACTTATCAGAAGAGTTTTAAAAAAAAAATCTTTAAAATGTTTGCCCACATTTTATAGAAAAGGTTCCATTTCACCAAAAATATATCATTTACATTTAATATAGCTTACAGTAAATTAAGATTGCTGCACTGTGGCAGCATACTTAGAACAGACATGAAACATCATATACTGAGATGAGATGGATGATGATTTCAACAGTGGCTATTTTAAACTCAGCACTTGGTAGCTTAGTGTTTTGACCTCAGATAGAGTAGCCCAAGTGCCTGCTAAGCAAGAGAAATGCAATATTCCATTTATGGCAAGGCCTCTCCATGGCCTGAAATTCGAATCCACAAGGCTTGATCCAAAGTCTCCTTTCCCTGTGCACAGCAAGAGCTTCTTGTAGGCTGAGGGTGAGGGAAACTTCAACCATTCTTCTTCCATAAATTAATTTCCTCTGCTAGTTCCAGCACTTCATTCCTCTTCTGTTATATCTCAGAAAAGCAAACACATCTATCATGAAAGTATTAAACAGGCTCCTCAGATTCCACGAGACCCTTAAGCAGCGTAACTCAGGTCAGTCCCACGACTTAGCAGAGGGGAACAGGGATGCTTCTCCCAGAGCAGTGGACCCAGGGCTCAGGTCTCATTTCCTGTTGTCATCACTGTCATTGATATTCCTATCAGCCTCTTCAGGCTTCACAGAGCTCCCATCCCCCGGCTTGCTTTTGCTCTGTGTTTCTTCCAGATACTGCTGGACAGCCTTGAGCACCGCGTTCTCCACCAGCCTTTTACTGAGCCTTACCAGTTCCGCATCATCAGGCTCCCCTCCGTTCTTTTCACCTACATTCCACAATAGAGAAGACAGGTCATTGATAGCATAGCGCTGTAGAAACCCATCATGCAGGAGCCAGCTAGTTCAGTCAGTTAAAAAGAGCAAATGTCCTTTAAACTGGTAAAACGGATCTATACATCCAAGACTACTGGCTTGGCTTTTCATTTGGTATTTGCAGAAGCAGGAGCCTGCCTATTCCTTAAGACTTTAGGTTGAAAGCAGTTCATTAGCCCAATCTAAAAATACTCTACCTAGCAATGTTGGAAGTTTCCATTTCTACATGAAATGTTGGTTCTTCTTACATCCAAGGCTAATTGCTGCTATAAAGTTCATCTGCCCATGACCTGGAGCTTCAGACATGTGAATTCACCAACTAGTTCTGTTTCTACTTCTCCTTCTTCACTATCAAATGGCAAGTAATCTAGAATTCCCTATACTACTTACTTAGGATCCCTATGATTACTTAGGATCATGTATTTTAAAATGCTTGGCAGGAGCTCTGGTAGCATAGTGCCTAAGGCACTTGACTGCTAACCAGAAGGTTGGTGGTTCAAACCCACCAGCCACTCCTCGGAAGGAAGGTTGGGCAATCCTACTTCCATAGTGATACTGCCTCGGAAACCCAAGGAGGGGTTGCTATGAGTCGGGGCCGACTCGACGGCAAATAACAACAACAACATGGACTGGGTGTTAATAAACTCTTCTCAGCACTCTTGGGAAGACAAAGGGAGTTACCACTGCTAAAAGCTGATTTAAAGTAGGTTTGTGGAACTAATACTCTTTTTTTTTTTTTGGAACTAATATTCTTTTAAATCTCAGTGCTATCATTGTAATCTAAGAAAATTCTTCAAGGAAGAGTTAGGATCATGATAGTAAATTACTAAATGTTAATATTTTATGATTATTTTGCTTCCCTGCTAGTGATGATTAAGGTTTAATGACTCCATCTTTCTTTTTACTGTAAAGGAGCTGGTTCTCCTCTACTCCCACACAACACATTTCCCAGTCACGCTGCTCCTTGTCTCCCATAACTGGAGAAAAGAACAAGGGGCTCTTCCACACCCACTCAGTTCCCCATTTCCTTCCATTGCATAGTGGACCTACAAAGGCAGATGCCTGGAGGCAAAGAAGTAATGGAAGGGCTTACTAAAGTCAACTCAGTTTTGGAATATCACTCATAGGCTCCAGAAAGTAAAAGCTCAGTGTTGCCCTTGAGTCTGGAACAGATGGATACAGTGGGTGTGAATGGAAAATTCACACCAATTGTGAATTATTACCCATATATACAGCATTATTCTCTCTCCTTACATGTAGCAGAGATTGAAGTAGAAAAACATATAAACCAAGGATAAGAACTGGTCCCTTGACCCTCTAGAGTGCTGCCACTTCTACATAATGCATATCTAGAACCAATCTGCTTATAATCACCCCCCCATCATTCCTAGCCACATTCTGAGGGAAGATAAGCAGCAGAGAGGATTAGTTAAAGGTCTATCTTGAGATGCTAAAATTGGGGAAATTTAGCAACTGCTTTCCCCTATCAAGAGTGTCAATATGGCACCCTAAGCCTGAGATCAAAAACCCTAGATAAAGCATTTATAGTACAACATATGTCTCAAACCGAATAAGCTTCAGCTTAGTGACATTTACATAGAACTCACTACATACGATGGACTCAAACATACCAAAGTCATCAAGATGATGTAGGATGAGGCAGCCTTTCATGGAATGGCTTACATGTCAAGCTCCATGAGTTACAGCCAATTTGACATCAATTAACAGCAACACATAAAGATGTCAGGATAGCATTAAAAGAAAGATAAAGAAATTCATCACTAATATCACATTTTGGGGCAAGCTAAGACTGTCCCTATCAGTTAGGATGAATGAGTATATCGCCTTAATCTTAGAACAGCGTTTACACTGTATAGATGACTTCTCCAGATGTATTACCTGGAACGATTTGTATAATGGCTCTTGAAATCTAAAAGGGAAAATCAAAATGCAAATGAAGAATACTTTTTAAGGCCCCTTCAAAACATCGAAGATGACTCTCTACATCTGCCACCCTACTCATGCTGTGTTTAGGCTGGATATCGTGTTCCTAACCCAAGGAGGGGTCGCTATGAGTCGGGGCCGACTCAACGGCAAACAACAACGACAACAACAGGGGCTGTTCCTGAATCTACTGCTCAGCTTTCTCACAGGTAAGATAGCAGGGTTACACATGAGCCAAGTTAACAACTTGATCTCCAAGATCCATCTCAGGTCTAATATTCTGTGCTTCTGGAATTACTACTGGTCCACAATGAAATGTTCCTGTTACTTAAAACATTAGGGGATTTAAAACAAACAAACAAACAAAAAATCTTTCTACAAAAAGCTAATTTCCCCTTCTATTTTCCTATTCTGTTTATGATTTTACTATTATCCAAGTCAACCAATTCAAAATGAAATTGTCACCATCTTAGACTCCTTCCTTGCCCTCTTAAACCCAACTAATCAACAAGTCTTGTCAATGTGCCCTTCACAAGTTCTCCCTTCTTAACGCATCTGGTCTACCTCCCACTAAGTATTTCTGAAATATCACTTTGCATTTCCATGGCCCCTACAGGAAAACATGAATGTGTTTTTCAAGGCATTCCACAATTTAACATTCCACCCCGATCATTCATCACTGCCAAAACTCCACCATTACTTTCCAACATCTTAGGAGCCTCTGCATCATTTCCTATTTCTAGTCTGTTCCCTCTCTTGTGCCATCTAATCCATGAAGTTTTCCCTAGCTAACCTAGTTGGAAATGATAAGCCTACATGCGTAGTACATGGTCATGCATTTGAAAAATGTATACTGAGGGCCTACCATATGCCTGGAACTCTTTTGGTTAATGAGGATGAAGCAGTAGACAAAACACAGCCCCACTGGTTTTCTTTCTTAACTTCTTTACAACTTGTGTTTATTCTTACTATAGTTATTCATTAACTACTGATTTAATGTGTATAGAAACCAGGTCTTGGACTTCTCAATCATCTCTCACTTTTCCAATATATAACACAGTTTATTAAACACAATAAGAGCTCTATAACTATTTGGTAGTAGAGTGAACTGTTGATTCAAGTTTTTGAAAGCAGTAGCAAGCATTTAAAAATTCTGTCTTCCTATAAGGATAGCACACCATGATCAGAAATCTGCATGTGGCCTTCAGGGAATGACAGGATAATCCAGATATCCATGTAAAAATCTCCACTCATTTTGCTTGATTAATATGGTCAATATGACAAAATATCCAGCCTATGGGGCAAATATTTACCTACAAAAACTAATCAACTAACCAAAAAAAAATAAACAAATTTATAAACTAATCTTCCAGATCTGGACTCCAGCCTCCGCTTAAGACTTCCCCAAAACACCCTCAGGGTTATCAATGCTGGTCCAGGCAAGAGCCTATAGGAAGGCTTATCATGGAGCCCTGCAAGAATACAGCAATTCAAAAATATGCATCTCCCTTCCAATTAAGCATTACTATGTTCCTACAATTAACAGACTTAATTCAACTTAAAGGAAAAAAAAACCTTAAGATTAAAATTATGCTGTATTTTTCTTCGGTCCACTACTGGAATGAAAATATCTGTCTCTCACAGTGACTTCTAAGATAAATGACGGCATACATTTTAACTGTAGCCTAGTTAACAATGGCAGATCAGCATGGCACTGCAATGTATACAGCTATCTTTTGATATTTCAACAAAATTATAGAGGAACAGTATTCTTGATGAAAATATTCTTTCTTAGTCTCTTTAGGTTGCTTAATGTCTGACTTTCTTAAAATGACAGGGTAACCTTTGTCTCTGGCACTTTATTTTAGAAATCCCCCAGAATATCTTCAATCAATTTCTTAGAAAAATACTGAAAATATAAAAGAAAGGTAATGAAAAATTCTTTTGTCCCTCAAGCACTGTAAAAGAACAGGCTAGAAACTATTCAACAAACTTCAAGCAAGTAAAGCCACACTCCCTAAAAGCTGCAGCATCATTAATCCATGGTTTGTACTTGCGATTCTGCTTTCCTTTATATTACCTGAGATCTCTGATACCAACCAGTGTAGGGATAAAACTGAGTTTTGTGCTTACAAAACAGAAAAATAAGTGAACTCCTTTGTGGTTGCAAGAATCATTTACAAATATGAGGATAATTTAAGACCAACATTAATGTGGTTCAGCTGGTATTATATCCATAAGACCAGCAGACCCAACAAACGCTTAACTGATGTCACACGGAGGACTTCAAGAGCCATCACGACCCCCAACCCATTCCAAGTACGTAAGTCCTTTGTCCTCACAAGGATAAATCACAGTAATTGTTCAAAAAAGGAAATGAAACGAAGCTTCATTATAATCCAATGTAGGAGTAAGGGAGAGTACAAACACATTAAAAGTTCTTACACACTCACATGCCAACATCTGCACAACTTTGTACTTTCTGTTCCTGCAGTGTAATTGTGTCCTCCTTAGAAGTGGATTTTCTTTTCTTTTTTTTTTTTCTTTAAACCAAGTGTGGTAGTTATGTTTGTGTGTCAACTTGGCTGGACCTGGCTCAGTGGCTGGGTAGCTGGTGGTAGTTATTCCCCATGATGAGACTGGCAATCAGCTCCATGGTGGGATCTACCATAAGCAGCTGAGAAGCTGCCTTTGAGTATGTGATCTGCTTCTTGTATATAAGGAGAAGCCTTGGGAATGGTCTCTAGCCTATGGCATGCTTGGACCCTGCATGTAGCCATGTCATTGTTCAGTAGCCTGCCATGCTCTTCTGACCTTGGGACTTACAATGGACTTGAATTAATGGCCTACTGTGTGGTTTGGTAACATCAGGATTGTGCCTTTTTACTTGTCAACCTTGGGCTTCCCAGCCTCAGCAGCCAATAGTTGTCTGAGTGAAGAAACACCTCTAGCTCCAGTGGGCCAGGAGCAGGAGGCAGAGCTGGATCCCAAGG